TGTCCTCCCATATGCACTTAATTTTTATTTCATTGGAAAATTGGAGCTTTTTATTCTCTTTGAGATCAAGTAACTAAATCCCTCTCAAAGAACTCTGAAAGGAGTCAAAGGTTAAGTATTTAATACAAATATAGGGTGATAAAGTTAAACTACCTTAAAAATTAATATATATATATATATATATATATCACTAAGATAAGTAACAAAGGTTAACTGCTTTTTTATATTAGAGATATTCCAAAGTGATGCCAAAATAGCATGCTAATATATTTAAAGGCTTGATTGAATAAAAAAACAGGGTGAGTTTTATTAATCCACCCTAATCCTATAAACATAAATTTAATAATGTATATATTTATTCCTTTAATAACTTACAGAGAAGATATTTTATCTTGAAAAAAAACTTTCAAAACTTAACAACATTGGGTATTATAAACTTTATTGCTACTGCTTGAAGAGCAAAGTGTTAGGCGTTTAAACATTTTTTATGCTTATTTACTGGAACAATAGACTTTTCAATTAAATATATTAAGATACTCCTTTTTATAAGTTAAATGGGTAGGGAAATAAGAAAGTTGTAGTCTTTCTTACCTATTCTTAGTATATGTCTCTTAAATAGGTTCCTGCTTTTCATCACAGGTGTGACACCATCTAATCCTAGTAGAAAGAGGAGGCCAAGCAATTTTTCACCTTTTCCTTATCTTTTGGTTGGCAAGGTACATCTTTAACACTATTTTTATTTTTTCATATTTTTGGAGGGGGGTGGGCAGTTATTTTGTTACTTATTCTCAACCAAAAGATATTGACCCCCTAGACTGGTTATTAATATCTACTGGGATACAGCATTTTTTGTCAATAGAAAAAAGAGTTGGTCACAAAGCTCTATCAATAAAACATATATATATATATATGTATATGCTTGTGTATCTTATCATCATTTACATGCTTTTGTACTAATGTATTATAATGCATACACAACACAAAATTTCCAGAAGTATTTTTTCATTACCCAATAGGTCATATTGGCACTCTCTGAAGTAAGAATAATTCTACATTGAACACTACCATGGGTTTGTTTTCCCGGAAGTTTCCATAAGGCTATACCTTTTTTACTTTTGTTTTATTGAACCATCTTTTAAAATTTTTAACCATTTAAAATGTAAAATTTAATGGATTTAGTAAGTTTACAGATATGTGCAAACATTACAAGTCACCTGAGGGATATTTTTTTTCACCTACTCTATCTTTTCCCACCTCTTCCTACAATGACTCTTCTCAAGTCAGAGAAGTCAAAAAGTCACCTTGAAACCTGAATTTTAGGAAGGAAGAAAACTACTTGTATGATGTCAAGAATATAAGGTGCCCTCAAATTTAGAACTGAAAATGGACAATTCACTTCTGTCTAGAAGTGTATTTGTTTCCTCAGAAGATAAGTGAAGCTCATAAGAATAAACCACTTTGATGAATAAATTCATTTTAATAGAGAAGAGATTAAACATATTAAGATTCTATTTTGTTGAAGGTAACTTGCTGGAGATTCTATATATCTTTGTGAATGCAAGCTCCTTAACACTATGATAGGCATGGGTGGAGGAGGCTGAGGGAATGAAGCCTGAGGGCTTCCAGTGCATTGTAGAGTATGTAGTGAATAGCAATGCAGGAATCAAACTCTGATTTCAATACCTGATCTTGTGTCTTCCCTCTGGTTCTTGATGTCTCTACCATTTGATCCAGTCACCAACACTCTGGGCTACCTATCTTCAAAGTTTTGTTTCACAGAAGCAGTAACCTAACTTTAAAATAATCAGTGAATTTCATGGATAGCTTTTTATTTATGAATCTACATATCATTTAGCATCTATTGTTCTCTGAAAGCATTCTGTTCTTTATACTTATGCATGTTCTTTTTTCTCCTAGAATTTGATTCTACCTCAAGAAGTATAGAATAAGTGAAAACTTTCAAAGCATTACATTGGAAGTGATGGAGATGGAATTGCTTCCAAGCAAATTGTCCACTTGTCTGTATCAATAGTGTCTTAAAGACTAGAACAGGCTCTTAGGTTCTGGAAAACTGGATATAAAAATGTATTTTCACATTGACCAAATTATACTTACTCACTGATACACTAGGAAATTTCAAAGAGTTGCAGGCAGGCAGGCAGGCAGGCAAATCCCTTACCATGTACACTTTATATAAAATGGGTCTTATAGACTAAGCCTGTGATTAAAGGGAAAGTTTTCAGAATCAATAGAAATGTCTAGTGAATGAGCACAATATAAACTGTGACATGCTCTCAGGACCTTATCAAGAGATAAAGACATTAGATTATTTCGCTTGAGAATGAGGAAACTAAACATGATTGAAAGGCGATTTAAAAACTTGAACTGTATGAAGGACATTATTATATAGACAGCATTGTCGAGCTGTTCTCTCATTTCTAGTGAGATCAAAGTAAGAGATTAACATCAGGATAAAGGATTTAGATTAAGCCTATGGAAGAACAGCTTGACTGTAATGGTTCCGATTTTAGAAAAAGTTGGTGAGAGGCAGTCAGCCAGAAGACTCAACAATTAGCTCATTTCAACAACTATAAATCATTCTTTGTTATAGGATCTACAGTTTAATAGAGACAATAGATACATACAATAATAAACTTTATATAGGGAAGATTTTGACAACAATGCAAGAGGAAAGTGATTCAGGAGTGAATAAGAGGCAGAATCTATACATATGAGGAAATCAATTAAGAGTCATGTTAAATATATCACTGGAGATTAACCATGAGTAAAATGTAATTTTTCAGTGGATGAAAAAGTGGTGTGCCTACAAAAATCCCAATTAAGGGAATGATATAAACAGACACACAAAAACAATTTACGTTCAAAGCAGGGCACTTTAGTTCACCTGAAATATAGAGCTAATTTAAACTCATAGATGAGTTCCTCTAGGGAGAAAATGTACAGAGAAGAGAGCCAAGAAAAGAACTTTGATTAAGAGGCCAAATGAGAAAGAAAATCAAAAGAACAATGCTCAAATGCATTCTTTTACACTATCTGTCCACTCCTACTATGTGATATACAGCCAAGCTACAGGTGACCAAATACTTCCCACCTCCACTGAGTTTATGATATAGAAGCAGACACACTGATTTAATAATAATACAAATAAAAAAAGATGTGCAACTGGAATAAATGTTGCAAAAGAGAATACCTGATTAGAGAAGGCCTGGTTAAGGTAGCTAAAGGGAATTGTGGTATAAGAGTGAAGAGGCACGGAAGAAACCCAATATGGACTTAGGGAAAGGGAAGTCCTTAGTGGGCTTTGGAAGTGTGGGTGATATAACTGCATTTAGAGGGGAAAAATCACCAACTGTCCAGTAAGGCAAATAAGTAAGGGAGAGTGAGCTGGATGGAGGCCTTTTCATTATTCCAGTGATAAATTATTTAGGTCAGCCCAGAGTTGTGGTTATGAAGATGAAGAGAAGTAAAAGAAAAGGAGGCTTAGTCTGGTTCATGACAAAACTCCAGATAGGAATAACAGAACTTGTTGTCAGAGTTGATGGAAAGGTCTGCTATCGTGTCTGCTATGGGGACAGGTTCCCACATGAGTCTAAATTTAGGAAATATTAAGTGTGAGCTGTCTTCACTATTTCATGTAGATGGTTTACTAGGTATTTGGATGTGGGATTGAAATTCAGATGGTCTGGGTTTAAGATGTAAATGCCTTTCCTTTGTGAGAAAATATTTAAACTATTGGTATGAGATCATCCAGGGAAAGTACATGATATAGAATGAGAAAGGGGCCTAGGATCACACCTTGAGAAATTCTAATAACTAATGTGTTAGTTTAGAAGTTACTGATCCTGCAGCTATTTTCAGAGAATTAATGAGAAAATGAGGAATAGAGCCACAGATACCAAGAGAAGACTATTCAAAAAAAAAAAAAAAATAGGAAATTGGTTCATAATGTCAGATCCTGCGGAGAAATCAAGCAAAGTGAAATAGAATGTCTGTTGGATTAGCTGGGACTAGAATAGAGGCTTCTTTAGGAAAGTCTTCTCACATTTGCCTAAGCACAATTAAAGGTAACCTCTTTGGGTTCCCACTAAAGTGTTCTTGTTCTTGTAACATCACCTATTTAGTTTTGAAATGACTGAACATATGTCATCCAGAGAGGCGAAGGGCTGTTTTAAGCAATTTGATTCTAAGAAATTGGGTAACTCTGTGGGTCCTCCCTGGTGGCGCAGCGGGTTAGAGCACAGCATGTGGAGGCTAGAGCCACTTCCGCATGAGTTCGATCCCCGCCTGCCCGGGAGGAGATCCACATGGTGTGGCAGACCTCTCCTGGCCCACACGCTGCTCCCTCGGCAGTGTGCTTCGTAGATCTGCCTGCTCTGCTCCCTGCTCTGTCTCTGGTGAATCCTCTCACCCTCCACATCTCTGGTCTGTACCCAGGTTCTGTATGAATAAATAAAATCTTAAAAAAAAGAAATTGGGTAACTCTAAATGTGAAATTTTAAACAAATATCTTTTGAGTATATGAATAAAACAAACAAAAAGATTTAAATGGTCAGAGCAATCTAGAGAAGACTTGGACTGTCAAGTACAAGAGAGTTTTAGTATGAAGAGGACTAATATAAACCACCGATTCCAGCATCATACATTCATTCAAGAACATTCAATTTGTAATGAGAGCTCTCTTTCAAGAACACTCTGCTCGGGACTCTGAGGGTTAACTGTTCAATGGTTGTTAATTGGTTTCCTTTCCTACACTAGCTATTTCTCTGTGATGGCTTTGTAGATAGCAGATGGTTTTGCTGAATGACATCATTGAGAGGATCAATCAGAAACCATGTCATTAGCTATTGAAAAAAAGCAAAAAATTTCCCCTCCTAGAGCCTGAATGTAGTTTAACCTTGAAATAAAAAATGTAATGAGCATTTAGATGAACTTAATAATTACATATTATATATTTAAACTTAAAAATTAGCATGAATTACCTTTCTCTCCTTCACTATCAAATGATAATTTCCTTCTTCGTAGTTTACAGTTGTCTCCTTCAGAATCATTCATAGATTGTGATCGTAGTAAGAGATCAGCCTTTGTTAATGGGTATAAAGATAGAATGAAAAAATATTCAACTTGGACAAAATGTATTATCAGTAAACTCTTGTCTATTTTATATAATTTCTATAACCTGAAACAATTGCTATATGGTAAGCAAAATAACTATAATAGTTTCAATAATGTTGCTTAAGTATAAAATAGACTGATAGAATAATTCTTGAAGTTTCATCATCTGATAGGGAAATCATAGTTGTAGAAGTTATTTATCAGAAATGTTGGGGGGCAGATAATGTTAACATTTAGACTACATATGCCTTTATGTAGAATGTATTTCATGTAACTTTGTAAAGTTAAAATAATAAAAAACCTGCAACATCTGTAATGCTACAGATAAAAATGTTAAACCAGTATAATTAGCTATGATATTTAAATTACATGGTAATGATCGCAAGTTTAAATTTCACAACAATAAATATAAGGCAGAATTCAATAAACACTGTGCTTTAAACCCTTTAGTATTTTTGTTCTCATTTCTCCCTTTCTCCTAGTTTTGGTTCTCACTATAAAATTCTATCAATTTCATAAAAGTGGAAACTCGAAATAAACAAAAAAATGAAAGTTCCTGTTTTCTTCAGTTGATTCTGCCTAAAATTTTTATGTAAAGAATTTATTTGTGGTAGATACTGGCTGTTTTTAAGTCAAAATCAGAATGGGGTTGGTAACGCTGAAATGGGATTTGATAAAGTTATTGAATTAAATCCATTATAGATACATGGTAACCTGCCCCTCTTAGCACTTTTCGTGTTCCTATTTTTAATGTTTCTGGGGAAAAAGCAATGATCTGACTTAATGCTTCAGGTTATTACTAAATGGTGCATTGGTGCACTTAAAAGTTTCTCTTTTTTTCTTTATAGCTCTCACAGTATCTGGGAGGGCCTACACTTCAAGGGGAATTACATTTATCAACTTTTATCTAACTATTGACTTGAGGATGCTTTATTCTGGAGAATATATTAGCTAGTGTTAAAATACACTGTCAAATATCAAAGACCCAAATTTTGATATATGACAAATAAGCATTTAGAACAGAGTTGGGGTTTATGGGGTTTTGAAAGGAAGAGAATGGAGTAACCTAGTAATCAACTGTGGGCTATCATTTTAAGTCTCGTGTGTTTACAGCGTAGTTGCAGGGCCTAAGGACATATTTTCATAGTGGAAGATAGTGAAGGGCTATACTCTTAGAACTCATTCTAGGTTAACTTTTAAGTAGAATCATTTAAACAATTATTTTTACAGGACCATCTGTTATTCATTCTGTAACACTAATTTGACTTTTATATAAGCCAGACTAGTGCATACTTCCATGAGTTAGAAATTGTGTTAAATATTAATCTAAACTTGAATGAGTTTGAAATAGTTTTGCTTCTATTGAAAAATTGTTAAATACAATGTATGCTATAAATAATAACTGGGAGAATATTTTAACTTTGTATAAGATAAACTTTTAAAAGTTTTTCAATAGCCTAGAATTATCCATTTCTTACAAATAATTGGAGCACTCCATATAAATCAATGCTATTTTAAATCAAGTATGTTACCTACAAATTCCTACAAGATCAAATTTAATTGTCCTACTTAAAGTTATCCAATATATTTTAATGTAATTAGACCAAATCTGTTCAGATAATTTAGAAATTTCAATATTTACCTTACTTTCCTTCTAAATATTTAGGCTGTGAAAATGTTAGTGTAGAATTTTACTTGTTCTTTCAGAAGTTTTTGGGAAGCTGAAGAATATAATAAAATGCCAAAAGTACAGAAATTAACAAACATATACCTTTGCACTTTCATGCCTTAGGTTGAAAGTCAACTCCAGGTTTGTTAGAAAATGATCAGAAAACTCAGGATACATATCCAAAACTTCTAACAGATCTTCTCTCTGGATTTTATGCAAGTCACAGTATGTGAGAGCTCTGACATCTGCATTAGACTTTCCAGGTTTGGCGTAAAGATGAACCATTTCTCCAAATATGTCATTTTTTCCTAAAAAAAAAAAAAAAAAAAAAAAAAGGATGGGGAGGGGGAGGGTAAAAGAAATCTGAACTCAATATTTTCTCTTCTTGAAGATGTTAGAAGGGGACCACTCACTGATCCCCGAAACAAAGATCTTTAACATAAAACCCCACAATCAAGGAACATTTGGGCCGAAAAACCGTATGACCTGGCAATGACTGCTGAGGCCTGCTGAGTGTGACGGGGATGAAGATCAGGGACAGAGCGTTCTTTGCTTATTTGCTATGTGTCTGTCTCATTGCCTTGGAGCTCAGAGCCCAATGTAATTACTATTATTTTCTGGCTTTAGTGTTTTAGCTAAGCACCTGTAATGTGGCCACTATGCTTTCCGTCTGTTTTGACCACACTGCTAGGAAGGGCTTTGTTGTTTAGGAAGTGTGGTCTAATTTTGTTAACCAGGCAAGCGAGTAATGTTGCAGTGAGTCAGATTCATGATCTCGGTATCTCAGGATAGCCCCGGAAGTGATGACAACAAGGAGCAGGAGCAATTTCGACACTTAGAGGACTAAGGGCAAATTTGAACATATCTTGTTTCATTTAGTAACCACTTTTGGATTTGTCTTAATTTGTTCAATTATTCAACAAATCTAGTTATTTTATCTCAACATATGCAGTTATGCTTTTGGTCTAAATTCTAAAAGTGTCTTTCCCTTACTTTCCTGACAAATCTGTGATTATCTCAGTGTCAGGCTTCTGATGGGCTCTCCCATGCCCTCTGCCTAGCCACATGCCACCTGCTTTTCCAGGCCTTGTTCAATGATAATGAAAACAATAGCGGCAACAAGTATTTAATAGGACTGGTGCCACGCAGTGTGTCAACTTCTTAGGTGCATCATCTCTTTTAATAACCACAGTAACCTCATGAAGAAATTACCTAAATTGTACAAATGCGCAAAGAGGATTAGAAAAGCAAATTCATTAAGTCAAGGTCACCTTTTCAGTTGGATAAAATGGAAGAAAGGGGAGAGTAGCCATCATTAAACTACATGCATTCTGTCTCTAGTCAAAATCTTAAAACAGCTGATATACTTAATTTCCTCCCATTATTTTCCTTTAGATTTTTTTTGTCTGAATATCAAGGAACTTTAAAAATTATACCCGTGGAATACTTTAGATTCTTGATAATATAACTTTAAAGATTGTTAATGGCATTGTAAGACCATACTTTAAATATACCCTAAAAATTATTTTCACATTTAGAAAAAACCCAAAAAACTCCCTACATCTGTTATTTAGTTTTTGGTATACATGTACATGTATATCAGACTATGAAAGCTACCAAAGACTTTTAAGCAACAATAGTCTAACTATTTTTTTTTAAACTGTAATGTTCTATTTTAAATAGTAGAGAGAATATTAATTTAAATTAATTTAATAGGGAGAAATCAGATACAAATTCTTTAAAACAAAAACAGATAATCTGTGAGGATTTTCAGTGCTGGTTTACATGGAAATGGGGATAAGAAAGGAGAATCTCTTGAGAACCTTTATGGTTTTGATACTTCAGTATAGATTATTATCAAAGAAATGTTAAAAAATAGCATGGGGTTTGTATTTGAATTAGCTTATATGCTTATAACTGAGCAAAAAGTAAGCAGTCAGAATGCATAATTTAACTACATTCCCAAATTATTATTTTATAAAGCAACAAAACTTGTTTCCTTCCTGTAGAAGTTAGGACTGGCAGACCTGAAGGTCAGAAATACATACCGGAACAAACTGTCCTCATAACATACTAGAACAAACTGTCAAGAGCAAATCTGTTGAAAATATAACTGAATTGTGTAGTAGCTATGTGATTTAGAATTATTTTTGTCTGCTTATTGGATTGTATACCAAATTAAGCACTGAATCAATATAGGAATTTTTTTATAGCTAGTCATATATAAAGTTGTCAAAATATATAAAGTCAGCAAAATATGTAGGAATCATGCAAGCATCTTCATTTGCATTTTTGGGTTCAATGATGTGGTTTTACAGAGCAGCAAAGAAAACTAAGTCCACATCATTTTGGGAGTTAATATCAAGAATGAAGTGAAAGGGAATAACTGAACTGCATGGTTGTTATTTAAATGAACCTGGATTTAATCTGCAGGGTATAAATGTTCACAGACACTGGGTGTGAGTATTTCCAAGGGGTGCTTGCTTGCTTGGTCATAGAAGAAAGGAACTAGAGTCATTTTCCATGCCTTACCTTTTCTTTCCTAAAGTCCTATCACAGGTGGTCTTGACACAGGACATTTTGACTTTATAATGGTGCTTTCAGTTGTGTTTGCTAATGCTGAGAAACTGTACAGCCATTCTGGTTTCTACCTTCTGCTAAGTATTCCATAAATTACATGAAATATTCAATAGTTTATTATAAAATAGGTATTCTATTAGATAATCTTGTACAACTGTAGGCTAATGTTATTGTTCCAAGTACATTTAAAGTAGGCCAGGCTAAGCTATGATTTGATAGGTTAATGTATTAAGTACATTTCTGGCCTAAAGGTATTTTCAACTTACTATGGGTTTATTAGGATGTAACCCTATTTATATTTCTAGGTAGGCCTGTATTAGAAAAACAGTGCTACAAGTTTACAGCAATGAAATCACTAAATTTAGTTTTATAGAGACAGATTGCCAAATTGGACATCTTTTGCATCCAAGTCTGTTTCATATATTACTAATTAAAATATGCCTTTAAGCACTGGGTGTTAAATTCACAACTTTCTACTATCTAGATGAGGAATCATAATCTATTTGATTGACTGCAGCAGGTAAAAGTACTGTGCAAATGGATAAAATCACTGTAACCAAAGCCCAGTTTAGGACAGGGCATTGGCACATGTTAACAAGTATGCTTACAACATACACATTTTATTTTAGGGTGTGGTGTGAATAGACTTGTAGAAATATTTACACATCAGAGAAAAAAAGAAGACAGTCAAGAACACATTTTCTGCAAGGCTAATATGATTTGAATTGAATTATAAACAAATATTTCAAATTACCCATCAATCTTAAATAGTACTCATAAATAAATAGATCAGCCTTTTCAGTCACTTTAAGCTATGTGTTGTAGCGGCTAATCACTGAATTTGTCACCACCCAGTTCTAAAACACTCACCCAAAATAGCTACCACAATGTCATCTTTAAGGATTTCGATGGAGCCTCTGGATAAGAAATAAAGTGCAGTGAGGACATCCCCACAATGCACCAGGGTGTCTCCTGGAGGTGCATGGGTGGTCTTGAACTTCATTGCCAAAGCTCTAAGGCAACCTTTACTTGCCCCCCGAAAGGCTTTGCAGTTTTGCAGTAACGTCTGGTTGAGATGTAGGCAAATGTCTGCTTGTAAACATTCTGGGAAACCCTTTAGGACCTGAAGAAAAAAACATAAAGAGTTTCATACTACCAGCGCACAGAATACTTCCACCTGAAATAAGTGTATTTCTTGCTCACAGAACTGCAGGTGTAGTAATTTTAACACAGGAATTCGTACAATGCTTCTACCTCGCCTACCTTAATGAATACTTGGTTTGCTAAACATGTCAGAATTTTAACTCAAATACTTGTTCTCTGAATTAACTGCAGGCATTCAGACTCAACACAAATGCGCTCATTAAAATGTAATGCCTACAGTGTTTCACACTGCTTCTCGTTCCTGCATTATGTTTTGTAGCATCATACTGTGCACAGATATAATGCAATGTAACAATTAATAAGACATAACTAATGAGACACAATCAGCCTTCTGAAGGAATCTCAAGTCAATTTGGACTGCTACCTATGGTAAACACCTCATGCTTGGTAAAAGTGACAGTCCTGAAATAAACACAGATATTTTTAAAGTCATCTACCAGAGAATATTCTCAAGCTAACAATACTTGGAATATTTATGTTTCATAGATGCATCATTAATACTAAATATTTTGGCAAACACTAAAAATCAAGATGGGGAAGAAAAATAGCAAACATACTTTAAATATGTAGTTCAATTTTCAGAAATGGAGATCATACTATAATTTACAATGCATATATAAAGCTTCTAGTAACACTACTGTTACTACTGTTTTGACAACCTAATGAGTGACTAATTTAAAACTTGTAGAAAAGATTAAATAGCTGTGACAAGTGCTACTCAACTTAGATTGTGGAAAATTTTATTTCACAAAACCAAGTATTAAAGTCACCCTACCGTCTCTGTATGTGTTTTAACTATTTTGGGTGTCATATGTAGCTTTTAATTCTCATGTTGTCTTCCCTCTGTCAATAAAAATAGATCCATTTACATATACTTTGGAGTAGAGGAAGGAGACATGATATAGTGCCTTTTTAGGGTTTCCTACCTTTTAAGGCCAATTTTAGGGTTTCCTACCTTTTTAGGCCAACCTGGCTATTACTGTCCAAATATCTAAAAGTAAACATAATTATCTGTATAGGCAATTCAAGCATGTGCAGCCCATAGAGGAACTTCAATAATATATCTAAATCAACTTACAATTATTACTATTTTAAGTAGAAAAGCAGTCATATGGATGGATCCTGATTTGGTGGGGCTAGTGTGGGATGCTGTCAGACTGACTGACTTAATAGCAAAAGTTCAATGAGACACTTGAACATACAAGCCAGTATTTCCAATCTTGTTTCTTTCCTTGGGTAGTCAGCCTCAGAAATGCATATAGATGAAAGCTCGAAGAATATTGAGTTCTAATCATGAATTTGCAACAACAGGTTAACACTTGTGCAAGTCACTTCGTCCCTCTACATTTCTTAACAGTGTTGAAATTTGCCATAAATTACCACTAAACAGTGAGCCAATTTTCAACTACTACTCACTCAGCTCCACAAGAAACTTAGACTTTTATCTCAAAGTTTGTGTATTATCTGACTCAGGTCAAAAAGAAATGAGCCTTCCTTTGTATGAATTCCTATTACTCTTCTGACACTGCTCCCCTTAATTGTAGCATTCTGATTCTTTTATATGACTAAACTGATTCTTTTATATGATTCTTTTATATGACTAAACTGAGGAATACTTCTAAATAACAACTTGCTTAGTCTTTGTCCTTTTCTATCTTTGGGGCTAAAATCTTTTTCCCCTTTGTTGGGATCCTATATCATCCCAACTTTTCTCATGGAACCAACCCCTAGGTCACTGATATCTTTATATCTTTGACTTGTCCAAACAACTATTTTGAATTGTTTGGCAATTGATATCAGATTTTGATTACGCTGGATTTCAGCACTTTTCTATTATGAGACCACTTTATTTTGGGGATTTTTTTTAAGTCTAATTTCTTTTTTTTTTTAAAGATTTATTTATTTATTCATACAGAACTGGGGTACAGGCCAGAGATACGGAGGGTGAGAGGATTCACCAGAGACAGAGTAGGGAGCAGAACAGGCAGATTAATGAAGTACACTGCTGAGGGGAGCAGCGGGTGGGTCAGGAGAGGTCTGCCTCGCCATGTGGATCTACTCCAGGGCAGGCGGGAATCGAACTCATGCGGAAGTGGCTTAAGTTCTTAGTGCTGTGCTTTAGCCCGCTGCGCCACCAGGGAGGGCCCAAGTCTAATTTCTTTTTAAATTTTTTTTTTTACTTGACTATTTTGGGGATGTTTTAATAGAAGAAAAATCCCATGTGATTTTTCCTCCATGAAGTCCACTGTTGTGGTCTCAACATAATTCTCAGTTGACCCCATGCAAATAAAAATGTAAATAACACCACACAAAGCAATAGATTAGATATGCTGACTGTTCTGTAAGATTTGGTTATAAGAAGTTGCAAGTAGCATTTTATATAAATGGGGAAGATATTGCTGTTATATAGTTGGAATATCAATACTGAACTTATAGTGTTATTACTGATATTTCTTGAAGTTCTTCACTTATGCATTAATTGTAGTTTGGTTATTTAAGGAAAAACTGCACTGGCGTGTAAGCACAGATGCCTTGTGTTGAAAAATGCAGCTGAGATAGAGGTAGGGCACTTAATTTCCCTAAGTTTGTTATTTGAAATCAGAGAGTTCTGAATGTAATATGGACTAAGACATGAGATGGGCTCAGATCAGCTAGGTGAGCTGAAATCTTGCTGGCTGTGACTCTGGTCAAGTAACTTAACTTCTCTGGAGATTCATTTTCTTCTTTTGTAAAATTAACAATAGCTATACTGCTTTTATCCACAGTTAAATGTGACTATATATGCCAACCACTTTATGCATCTTAGATATTCAATAGACAGTTTCCTTCTGGCCTTTTTTCTCCATGCTTTGCTTTTTTTTTTTTTTTTTTTTTTTGTCCTATAGACTTACTGTTTCTGAACATACAAATAGGTATGTTCTTTTTAGATTGAAATTTAGAGATACAATATCAATTGTGTTTATCTCTGGTTTCACTGGTGAATAGAAAGTTTACCACTAAGCTTGGTCTTCTATTATTTCAATAAAGTTTAAGCATTTGTGCTTTATGGCCTCGACAAAAAGATGAAGAATTCTTTTTCCTTTCATCTCTTTTTAATGTTTCCCTTTCATCTTTCCTTTGGCTTATACACACTTAGATTTTCACTGTGAGTTCCCTTAAGTGCTTTTTGAAAATAGACAGTTAGCTAAATCAATTTACAATATGTTCTTAGAGTTCCAATATTCCTAGAATTGCTCACAAAACTTTAAAGGACACTTGGGAAAGTATCATTCTCCTCTTAAATACCTTTGTTACTGTTTCACCTCCTAACATCCATCCTATCAGAACTGATAACCATGGGAAAGGAAGATATCAAGTTGGAGGTGTCATGGAGCCCCAGGAAGACACCTTTGTATCAAAGGAAGATACACAGATCTTGGTATGAAGGACATGTACTGATTAAGATTAGTGGTGTTAGCCTTAAGTTGATAATTTTTTAAAATTTTCTTGTCAGTTACTTAAGTCACTCAAGTAAAACTCAAAAGAAGTAAATATCCAGCAATTGAATTTCTTACTAGCCAAGAGGTTTGGATGTCCTAAATTAGTTAGCGATACTGGAATCTGGGTTATGCAAAAATAATGTTTTAAAAAGGAGCTAAAACAGGCCCTCCCTGGTGGCGCAGCAGGTTAAAGCACTGCACTAAGAAGCTTAAGCCACTTCCGCATGAGGGAAGGAGTTGCAATAGAAGAACTGAAAAATATGTTTTAAAAAAAGTGAGAAGAAAGGGGTTAAGTTTAAGTCGATTTCTGCTCACGGGACCCCTCTCCAGTTCTCCCTGTTGTGTTGCCTCTGCTGCTTCCTGCTCATGTGTTTTCTTCTGTCCAGTTGGTTTCCCTGGCAAACTTTCTGACATGGAAGTTCCTCCTTTAGTAATCAAATATTGGCATTTTACTAGGCCTAGGAGATCTGGTCGCAGAATAGCTATTTCAAATACACAAGTACAAATCAGGGCACTGAGTTTGTCTAACCTCAAAGCCAAGGGAGCCTAAACCAGAATCAGTTTCATGGCCTGCACCTTAGAAAAGCAGTCCTGATTCTCTCAGCAAAAAATGTATTAGGGTTCTACTAAATAGCCTGAATTATGCTAAGACATGAGAACATAAAATGAATAAAACATATTCTGAAACCATACTAGATCAAGACTTTTCTAAATTTTAAGATATATATCTCTATGTATCTACAAATACATATATCTATATGCATATGTTATGTGTGTGTTACCAGAATTTCTCATACTTTGCTTTTCATGACAAATTTAGACATTTATAATGTAAATTTATAACACTAGTAATTGTTCAAACAAATATTTGGTGGTTATAGTATAAGATGAGAGCAAAGCTCTAATTTATTTCTTTTAATATTGGATGGGAAATTTGTTAACTTTTGAAAATTCCAGAAATCTTCAAGGTTGATAAAAATTCCATTTTTATTATGATTTAAAGTCACTTGAATATTTATAAATATATGATTAACTTCCTCTGATTGTAATAGATGTTGTCTATAAAATTCTTTGAAACTCAATTTATATATGTCATATTTTTTTCTTTGAAGTGAATACGAAGTGCTTTTCCTGTTAGATGTTGACTACATAGGATACTACTATGGCACCCAAATTTTAAAGACATTCAGACAAGAACAACTTAACAGCCACAAAACAAAATGCCATTATTGAAATAAAGGAAAGCTTTGAAGAACTCACACAGGGAGAAAAAAATGAAGAAAATCACAACTAGGGAAACATGTCCTGGGTTTCAATCAGTAGCGGAAAAGTAGAGGCACATCCTAATTAGTGAATCATTTTTTTTTTTTAAATGTGACATTATTACATCATCTTTCAAGGAAGGCTATGTTTTATACTGAATTTTGCTATAGGGTTCTTTTTTTTTAATAGAGCAACTTCAATATGATTTTCTCTTTTC